CCCACCGTCTGCTAAATTCCCTGGTCTTGGAGGTGGTGGATGAAATGGGGCGTCAGTGTCATCAGACCCGAGCGCCCAAATGCAAACATGTGAAGCACCTTGACTTGTTTGGCCGTAAGGTCCACTCCACGAAGGGGTTAGTACTCTGGATAGCGAACCAGCTAGCTCTCCTGAGTCAATACACATATAAACCATGGGCCTCCCTCTGGAAGTATAAGGACTCCCTGCCACAGGACTCCAGGCATGAGGATGGAGCACCGATGCTGCCGGATCCTTCCTTGGCTTTCCTCCACTTTTTGTCCCATTTTCACTGTGCCCGAGAGTCCATCACTTTGGGCCACTGGGTCCTTCAGACAATGGAAGAGGGCTACTCAACCCCACTGAGTTCTCACGTGCCATCCCACCCCTCACCCCGCTCATCCCTCTTCAAGGACCCTTCTCAGGAGAAATTTCTACTTCAGGAAGTGCACACTCACCAGGACTTGGGCACAGTGAAAAAGGGTCCTTAGGATTTCAGGGACAAGGGCTTTTACTCCTCTTGATAGAATCATAGAGCTGGAAGAGACCTCAGGAGATCACTGAGTCCAGCGCCCTGCCCAACTCAATCATCCCAGCCAGGGCTCTAACAATCTGGGACTGAAACACCTCTAAGGAGTCCACTCCCTCCCAAGGGAACACATCCCAGTGCTTCACCTAGTAACATTGTTTTTCCTAATATCTAACCTAGACATCACCCATTGAAAGTATAACAACTTGTTCTGCCATCTGCCACCACTGAGAACAGCCTCCCTCCATCCCCTTTGGAACTCCCTTCAGGAAGTTGAAGGCTGCTCTCAAATCCCCCCTCCCTCTTCTCTTCTGTAGACTAAATAAGCCCAAATCCCTCAGCCTCTTCTCATAAATCATGGGCCCCAGGACTTAATCATTTTGGTTGCTCTCTGCTGGACTTTCTCCAATGCGTCCACATCCTTTCTGTAATGGGGGACCCAGAACTGGATGGAATACGACAGATGTGGCCTCACCAGTGCAGAATAAAGGGGAACAATCACTTCTCTGAATCTGCTGGCAATGCTCCTCCTAATGCACCTAATATGCCATTAGCCTTCTTGGCTACAAGGGTGTGTCTTTTACTCATCTCCAGCTTCTAATCCAATGTAACCCCCAGGTCCTTTTCTGCTGAACTGCTACTTAGCCAGTCAGTCCCCAGCCTGTAACAATGCTTGGGATTCTACCAACCCAAGGGGCAGGACTCTGCACTTGTCCTTGTTGAACCTCATCAGGTTTCTTTTGGCCCAATCTTCCAATTTGTCTAGGTCACTCTGGACCTTATCTCTGCCCTCCAACATACAGCATTCTGTTCAGCATTCCCATCCACACTCCACAACCTATGATGTCTCTGGTCATGGATGTATCTGCTCTGGATTGTGGTATTCACCTTGGGGATCTCACCACTAAAGTGATGTGGTAGGAGGAGGAGTTGTCCTTCTTTGTCAATGTGCATGAGCTTCAGGAAGTCCGACTTTCATGTCTGCTCCCCCCACCTTTGGGGTAACTCCATGATAGTCATCATGGACAACAGGACCACCATGTATTATATCAATACGGCGGAGCCAGGTCATCCCCCGCCCCCTTTGTACCAAAGCCCATTGTCTGTGGGACTTGCGTATAGCCCACATTCACCTGGAGGCGTCCTACTTTCTAGGGGTTCAAAATCAGCTGGTGGACCATCTCAGCCAATGTTTCCTGGCTCACAAGTGATTGGTTCATTCAGATTTCCTTCACACTGTTCCCCAAGCATGGGGGTTGCCCCAGGTAGAGAAGAGATCTGTCTGGGGAAATCAGAAACACCCACGATTCTGCTCGTTCTGGGGCCTCAGACCAGGGTCCCTAGCGGACGCATTCCTGATCCTATAGTGGACGTCCTGCTGCATGCCCTTCCCCCATTTCTGCTGGTCCACGCGGTGCTCCCCAGTCTCCACAAGGACAGGTTGGTTGTCATTCTGACACCTCAGCTCTGGTTCCCCACCCTTGTGGACCTATCTATTCAACCGCCCGTTCCACTGCCCCTGCTCCCAGACCACATCACTCACGACCATGGTCATCTCCACCACCTGGACTTGTGCTGTCTCCATCTCACAGCCCGGTGGCTCCATGGCTGAACCTCCCCTCCCCCGAGCTGGCCTGCCCTAAGCTGGTTCATCCAGTTCTTATGAGCAGTAGGAAGCCTTCCACTTGGCTCACATATCTGATAAGATGGAAGCACTTCGCCTGTTGCTGACGCCAGCATAACCTGGTGTCCTCGTCAGCCTCTGTTCCCCAGGGTTGGAGTGCCTGATATTCTTGAAACATCAGCTACACCTCCTCGCTGAAGGTTCTCCTGGCAGCTAGTTTGGCCTTTCATCCAGGTGAGGCTGGTCACCCCGTCTTCTCGAGTCCCCTGGTTGTCGCGCTCTTTCTCTTGGGTACGGATAGCCTCTGCCTGCTGGTCTGGTGCCCGGTTTCTACTTGGGATCTCAACTTGGTCCTTTTGACACTCATGGATCCCGCTTTCAGCCTTTAGCAAGGTGTTTCTTTCTTTACCTTTCATGGAAAGTGTCTTTCCTTGTCGCCATCCCCTCCAATAGACGGGCATCGGAACTCTGCATCGCCACGTCAGAACCTCCGCACGCTGTGTTCCATAAAGACCAGGTTCAGCGTTGCTCTCACCCAGCTTGTCTCCTGGAAGTGTCTCTACCTTCCACACAGGTCAGGACATTTTTCTGCGAGTTTTCCTTCCCAAACATCACCAGAGTCTGCAGGAGACACGGCTGCACTCTTTGGAAGTCAGGTGAGCGCTCACATTGTACATCAACAGAACTAAGCCATCATGTAACTCCTCATAGCAGTTCGTAGCAGCACCAGACTGGATGAAGGGGCTATCAATCTCATGGCAGACCCTCCTTTCTCACTGATGGAGTAGCCAGCAACAAGGAAGTGGGGGGTGATGGGGCTGGCAGGGTCATGTACAGTGCAGCACGCTGGCATCGCTCCGGGCCAACGAAGCCAGTATGGAAAAGCGTTCCGGCAGTTGTGCGCACAGCGCAGGCACACCGCGCTGGAACAGACGGGAGCAACACGTCTCAAAGAACAACTATTACAAAGGCAAGTCACCATTTTTTCCTATCGGAATGGGGCTGTGGTGGGGACTGCTGGGCTGGCTGTGTCCATTTCCCCCCTTGCAGATTCACAGACAGGCAGGGCAGAAAGCCGCCCCCAGGGGCCATCCCTTCCATCCCCCCCATGCTGAGGCAGGACCAAGTCACCCTAGACCAGAGCGCAAAGCACGGCAGCTGCTCTCCAGAGCCGCATGGCGTTACCGTGTGATCGGGAGCACCTGCCACTGTCTGGGGAGGGATTTCTGCAGGGAGCAGCTCCCCCTTAGGGGCTTGGCACTCGTAGCTCCCCCCTTTGGAGCCTCTTCCCTCCTGAACACCTCTCCTAGGTTGAATTTCCTGGGGCACTCCCTGAGCAGCTGCCCTGAGCCCTGCAGTGCTAGGAGCTTCCTCTGTGATCGGTGCATGCGACTGAGCCCCACAGCCCTGCCCTAGTGCCAGGAGCCACCTAGCTAATTGGCAGCTCCCAGTCACTCAGGGAATTAACTGCACCCGGTGGAGCTGAGTTGGCCCCTTCGCCTTAGGGGAGCCTGTCACGAGGAGACTGGGTGCCCGACCTCCTGAGGGGCCTGCTGCCCTGTGACCACCCTGTGGCCTGTCTGAAGACTGTTATCCTGCCCCCATCAGCCTTCTCCTCCTGACTACACCTGCCCAGGTCTTTCAGCCTGTGCCCTGAGGCAGCTTGTCATTTCAGTTGCTGCCCATTAGCGTCTCTCCCAATTTCCACATCTTTTCTTGAAGTGCGGGGTGGGAAGCAGGACACGGTGCTCCAGCTGAGCCCTCCCCAGGGCCAAGTAAAGTGGGTCAGTTACTGCCCACGTCTTACACACAACTCTGCCCTGACGACATCCCCGAGTGACGTTTGCCCCGGGCTGCTGACAGGGGGCCCAGGAAGGCAACTGCCCCGGGGCCTAGCGATAGCCTTCCCTGCCACTACTGTGGTTCGGGAGTAGCTGGGCCAGTCTCACCGTAAGTGCCGTAGGGTCCATTTAACCAGGCGCTGTGGGTTTGGATGTTTCCATCTTGTTTTGGCTTCTTGGCGTCTGCACTTTCCTTTAGCTGCGGGACCATCACCGACCCCACTGCCGGATCCCTCAGCACCATCTGCTGCAACCGGCTGGAGGGCCGCTACGTCACCATCGTCATCCCGGGCAGGGTTTCCATCTTGTTTTGGCTTCTTGGCGTCTGCACTTTCCTTTAGCTGCGGGACCATCACCGACCCCACTGCCGGATCCCTCAGCACCATCTGCTGCAACCGGCTGGAGGGCCGCTACGTCACCATCGTCATCCCGGGCAGGGAGGAGTTTCTGACCCTGTGTGAGGTCGAGGTTCTATCTCAGGGCTGTATCCCACCACTAGGGGGTAAGGAACTAGAGCAATGTGAATGGAGACCTGTTCCCTTTCATGCTTTACCCCAGTCCCTTCTGTGACAGCTGCTGCCTAGCGAGACAGCAGAAACCCTGGGAGCATCGCCCCTTCCCACCGCTCCCCTGGGTGTGGGCTGCAGCTGGCAGGGGTAGGTGGGAGGGGCTGCATGTGAACATCAGCACCACCCTGCTGTCGTTCCTGTCCTTAGGGCCCAAGTTCCTACTGTGAAGCTGGCTCGCACGTGGTGCCTGGTTTGTGTGTCACCCTCAGGAAATGGCTCTGGTCTGTGTGGGAGAAAGGGCTTCTAGAGGCCCCTCCTCCCCCGGCAACGGGCACGTCCCACCTCCCCTCCTCTCACCCTCTGATTCCAGCTCAGAACTTGGCGCTGGGACGTCCGGCCAATCAGTCGTCCACGCACGAAGACGTCACTGGCCGAGCCGAGCCTGGCAGGGCCGTGGATGGAAACAGTGAAGGGCGGTATGACCA